GTCTGCTTCTCCCTCTGACCCTCCCCCCTCTCATGTGCTCTCTCTCATTCTCTCTCTCTCAAATAAATAAATAAAATCTTTAAAAAAAAATCAATAATACATTATGAACATCTCTTCATATCATTAACAATTTTTCTAAGGTATAATTTTTTTTAAAGATTTCTTTATTTGAGCGGGGGAGGGGCAGAGAGAGAGAACCCAAGCCAATTCTTCCCTCAGCACAGAGCCAACGTGGGGTTTGATTTCAGGAGCTTGAGAGCTGAAACCAAGGGTCAGATGCTTAACAGACTGTACCACCTGGGCGCCCCAACTAAGATATAATTTTTAATGACTATATTTGAATGACATCATTTCAACGTGCCGCAACTGTTAAAAATGTCCTTATTGTTGACATTCAGATTATTTATGTTTTATTTACTTTATTTGGTATTAATCAGTTTTTAAAATTACTCTAGAAAACAGAATAAATATTTGGATCAAGTTTTAAGCACAAAGGAAGGCACCTTAAGTTCATTTGCTTTCTTTAAATTCTTGGCCTTTTCCCTTTCCATAGGACAGGGAATTATGCTGTGAGAAAACTGAACTGTGTTAGAAATACATAGTGCAGAACCGAGCTGGAGGCAAAGGGTGGGACAGAGGCCAGCCACAGGTATGACAATAAGGAGGTACACTGTCTGCAGAGAATTCAAAAGCAACAGTAAAAATAACCAAATCTGTTGCTTTTTATTATCTCTTTTTTATTATCACCAGGTGCTAGAAATTCTAAAAAAAAAATGTCTGTGAAAAATATCCCTTCCCACCAGGGAAAATCACTTCTGCCACCAGCCTTTGATGTACATACCATCCTGAAAGAGAAAGAATGACATTGGATAAATTGGTACCTGCTCTCTTATAGACTCATCTATCCTGAAATGTCATCCAATGCTTGCATATAAGCAGGACATTTTGACCTTAATTAGCAGAGGATAAGGTTGGAAAAGTTTACTACTCAACCTGTAACAAATAGGAACATTATTACATGATCAGAGATCACAATTGATACTGACCTTCTCTTTTCTCTATTGACATTAAAGATGTTTACTGAAAAAATAAATTGATCTCAAAAGTTACTTTGCTTAAGATGTAGCAGGAAATGTTGAGAGTATCTATTTATAAAGCAAGAAAAAGCAACATCTACAAAGATCATTGAAGGGAAAGCTAAAAGAACAGTTCTTTATTATAATTTTTCTTACAAAAAACCAAATTGATCAAAATCTTTTTATGGGGAAAATATTTTTAAATTTGAAGGAGAAAATTTAAATTTGGAAGGGAAGGGTGGAAAATGGAATCTCTGTCTTTTCCTTACATTTCCCTACCAACTTATTACCTTCCAACCCCTCATCCACCTTTATTAAGTTCCTCAGAAAAATAGCTTGAGAGTTCAGAGGGCTTGTGAAAAAAGAAATAGAGATTATTTTTATTGGAAACAAAGTTATACAGATTGTGCCAAAGTTTTACAATACAAATGTTAATTCGCTCTACTTTTCTATTGAGAAATACAAATCTTAAATTCATGGAAAGTTAGGTCAGAGCTTGTTCACAACATGAACTGTCGAGTTTTGGATGTTTTGACATTTGTCTTAACTGTGTGTCACTCAGCAGGGTTAGAAGAAACTGGTATAAAGAGTGACAAATCTGTTGCTTTACTAGATGGGTGCTTTTGGTAAATTACTTAGTACTTCTGAATCTATTCTATAAAGTGGAGATAATAAAACCTCATACACTTGTTTCGTAGGGTTCCAGAACCCTTAAGAGCCATATGCAGATACCGCAGGGAAAATTTAATGAGTATCCAAACTGTATTAGGTGTTAGGGAATTTCTATGACTATGACAGGGTCTCGGTTTGGAGAAAGCTATAGAGTTTAACAAAAACGACAGACAGTAAATGGATCTTTCCAAAACAATGAGGGGTACATGGGGTACTATGGAGCAACACTACTCAACAAACTTTCTGTGCTGATGGAGAAGCTCTATACCTCTGGTGTCTGACAGAATTAGCCACCTGTGGCTACGGAACACTTGAAATGTGTCTAGTGTGGCTGAGGAAATGTATTTTTAATTTAACTTTAACTAGTTTAAATTTAAAATGAAATAGCCCCTCGTGGCTAGTGGTTACCCTACTGGGCAGTGCGCCCACAGAACAAATGAGCAGCACTAGGTATTAGGGAAGGCTTCCTGGAGGAGTTGAGAGTAGTCACAAGTTTGCCAGTTTGAGGATACAAAGGAGCAAGAGTTTACAACAGTTTATCACTAAAAAGCAGTCGGAAATACTTTTGGCTTTTAAGAACAAAGTCATTGGGGTTGGAAAAACTGAATTAGTTCAGCTTGCATTCAATATGTGGATCTTTCTTTTCAGGAGCACCTTGAAGTGAGGCTTCCTGTCAGAGGCCCCGTGTAACAACCTGCTGCTTGAAGCAGATCCCCTTGGAGCATTCCACGAACGCAGATTCCCTAGAAATAAAGCTGAAGACAGTTTGATGCAGGAAACTGGGGAGGAGTAAGGGCCTTACCTCACTTTTCGGGTCTGCACGCCTTCTCCACAGTTATCCCGCATGTTGACAAAGGTCACTTTGCAGATGCTCCACGGCTCTGGGACCCATATATACTGGCTGCAGTCACTGTGGCAAGGGACCACCTCATACACCTGAAACACACACCGTTCTCAGGGATTTCTCCGCAGGGAACCCGATGAGCGCAACTGGGAGCCCTTCACCTCCATGACAAACACTGTATTCCTGTTTAGCTGTTTTCATTCCTCTCCTTTACGACAGGCTCATTATTCTAAGACAGGACTATAGAAAACCTCTTGGGAATTCCAGCAGTAATGGGCAGGGCTAGCTGTGTTGTATTCTCTTGATCCTTGATCATCTATCACATTACAGTTGCACATGTGACCTGACGAAGCACCCGGGACACCTCACACACTGCCCCGTACTGCCCCCCACTGCACAGTATTGTAATTTCATGGGCCATCTGTCTTGTTCACGGTGTTGTGGGTCTTCAACACTTAGGCCAGAGTGCTCCTATGTTAGGCATTCTATAGAGATTTGTTGAATAGATGAATGAATGAATAAATGAATGAATGAATTAAATAAGCATATAAAAGTAGCTGTTTTCAAAGGAATATAACTTGTCCTGTTTTCCAAACGAATGTACATAGCAATAAGAATTTATATATTTTTTGCATTCTCTATGTGCAACTAAATTAAACGATAAATAATAAGAAATAAAACCATTTTAAAACTAACCCTTAAGCATTTAGGGCTTGGAAACAAGGTCTGAAATTGGCCTCGTATTACCCAGTTACAGCCCAAATCAGGGAGGGTCCACATGACACAAAGCCAATTGTCTTGCTCCTGTCCACAAAGCCTGAAAGCCCCACAGTTAGGCTGGTGTGTTTGGTTTCAGGATTTTAGAACAATGAACCAATTATGCTTTTTTCTCAGTGAGAAGAATGACTAAGCCAAGGAAATAAACTGTAATCCACTGCAACACAGCTGACTCAACCATTAAAGAAAAATGTCTTTTAAAATAATTTCAAAATCTATGGTAATTCAACATTATTGCCTATTTCACACACAACACACACTAGTATATGTATGTTTTGTGTAACTATATAATTCCAGAAAATATAGATATAAATAGCCCTTTGGAGCTATTTTGTGCAAATTTTAGTGAGTAAATAAAGTTGACCTATTCAAGAAGTAAGAATGGAATAGTAAGAATAAAGACTATGCACCGTTGGAATAAGAACCTATCATTATTGTTATAAATTATCACCTCCACATTGGGTACTGCATTAAAATCGTACTAAGTACTACGGAGTAAAACATTACCCTACAACTTGTGCGGAAGGGAAAAACTGAAGGAGAAATGCCATTTTCCCTAATCTTTCAATGGCTTTCATTCTAATCTCCTACACTGGACTGAATACAAATCAGTTCAGAGCAACTTCCTGCCACCCACCTTCAGCCCACCTGCACCTTTACCCTCCCCCCCCTCCGAGAAGCATGACAGCATTAACAAGAGATGTCACTGCCTTTTCAAGGCTGGTGAAGTGAAGCTTGTTCTCCCCACCCCTGCACCTCAGCCCTGATACTGAAGTGAGAAAACACAGGTAGCATGCTGGGGCGGGGGTGGGTGGAGGGAAACAGCTGCAGAACAAAAATTCTATGGAAAATGTGGTATTTTCTCCCTGTAAAAGATAAAAGACAATAGCAGGAAAAGAAATACATTCTCTGAAGTCGGGAGTGAAAAAGAAAGCAAGCAGTATTCTTCCATGAACCAGGAGGTTTAGAAGTTCTTACCTGGGCCTGGTGTAGTGTTCAACAGGAATGAAGAAAAGGGAGAGGAAAAAGATAAGGAAAAACGTCAGTATACTGGATGAAAAAATTCATGTTCTAAGTTAAAATATTATTTTACCTACACATAAAAGCCAACTTTTTTTTTTTTTGTAAATGATTACAATATCTTCATTAAGCCTTGGGAGAGAAAAAGCAACTCATTATTGTTTAAAGTGAAGATATACAAAGGAGTATTATAAACAACACAGCCAAGGAAAAGATTAGATGGGCAGGATGAAGAAATCTTAAAAAACTGAGTAGACCTTAAAATACATATATCATGGGCGCCTGGGTGGCTCAGTTGGTTAAGCGACTGCCTTCGGCTCAGGTCATGATCCTGGAGTCCTGGGATCGAGTCCCGCATCGGGCTCCCTGCTCGGCAGGGAGTCTGCTTCTCCCTCTGACCCTCCTCCCTCTCATGCTCTCTGTCTCAAATAAATAAATAAAATCTTTTAAAAAAAATACATATATCATGGGGGATAGATAAATTGTGAGTGAAATCTATCCATAGACTGATTGATTAATCTATTGATTTTAATCCATCCATCCACCTACATTTCTTGGGATGAGAATTTGCTTCCTCAATCAGAAAATGGTACTTCAAAGACCATTACCAAGTCAATGGACCACTGATTATGTTATTGAGGAATATATAATTGTGATAAAAAAAATCCATGTGATTTACAATTTTCAAAGTTAACACAAACCTTTGTATGTTCTTTCCTAATATTTTACTGATAAGGTCCTAGAAATTTCTATTTTTAAATGTAGAACATCTGTACTCAGAGTCAGGAATCTACCATTTCTTGTTTTAGCTTTAATTTTTAGTTGTTAATGACTTAATATACCACCAGTAAGATGATTAACAAGTACCTAAATGTCCCCATCAAACTCTGCATTAAATTTTACCAGAGTTGGAGAGTGACAGAAAAATGGCTTAGGTAAAAGACTTTTCATAGCAAAAACAACTTGGCAGAAGGTCCTGAACCTTTGAAAATTCGCTAGTAAAAAAAATGCTGAGGCAAACACAGCTTATTTTAATTGAAAGGCTCATTGGCTGTACACACACACACACACACACACACACACACACACACACACACACACTGAGCCTATACATTTATGTAGAATTTCTCTTTATTAGGACCATGGAGCAGAAGTTATTATAAGTTAAGTTTACCTATGGAAATTTAAGATTTCAAAATTTGTAGAAGAATATTCCTTTGCATTATAAAGCTTACATTTCAGTTATTGTGTTTAATTAGGGTTATGTTAACTGAATTTTCTTCTTTGCAAATATTCACTCTGGCAGGAAAACTCATTGACCAGTAGATGGCAGCAGTACTGCGTATTAGTCACCGATGGTTGCCTTGAAGGGCACATTCAGCAACTTCACTCAGGGAAAAAAAAAATCAAGATTTTTTCAGAGTAGTACTTCCTACGGCATTTAATTCTCCACTTTCTTTGTCCTTAATTTCTTTATTCAAAATTTATTTTTATTTTCTCTAGACTGTACTTTTATCTTACCTTATTATTTTTGAAGATCTAATTGGCTTTCCCATGTGATTCATGAATTCGGCGGCATCCCATTTAGCAGGTGGAGGGGAGCACCCTACAGTATATCTTTATTATCATTAACAATTTAAGTTAATGTGGGAAGTAAAGTATGTGTACTGGTAAGCAGTGTGTTTGGAGATTAAAATTAATCTATGTGTGCATGAAACCTATCTGCATATTTAAAGTTGGTTCATATATATGATTTGGCTCATTTGATTGTGACACTATAAATACATATCTTAACATCTACACATACTATATTAAGTTTATTTTTTGTTAATTCACATGTAGGTCAAACATGATAATAATTGCCTATATCTTATATTACATTTGAATTAGTCACAATTCCCTCTATCAGTCTTTTTATTTTATATCTCCAATAGAACACAAGTAACAACTATTAACAGCAGCTAATGAAATGAACATACAAAAATCAAATAAGGTTCCAAATAAAATTCAAAAGGTCAAAGACTAAATTGGTAGAGAACATAGTTACACTGACTTTGAAGTCATCTTTATATCTTTTTTAACATATTTTGTATCAAACAAATTTAAATGAACAAATTCATATTTCCTAGTTTTATTTTTTGATTTTTTTTTAAAGATTTTATTTATTTGAGAGAGAGAGAGTGAGAGAGAGAGAGAGAGCACAAGAGGGGGGAGCGGGAGAGGGAGAAGCAGACTCCCTGCTGAGCAGGTAGCCCGATGCGGGACTCCAGGATCATGACCTGAGCCGAAGGCAGTCGCTTAACCAACTGAGCCACCCAGGCGCCCCATATTTTTTGATTTTTTTAGAGAGGGATGGAGAGAGAGAGTATGAGGGGCAGAGAGAGAGGGAGAGAGAATCTTAAGCCGTCTCCACACCCAGCACAAGCCAGACGAGGAGCTCAATCTCACAACCCTGAGATCCTGACCTGAGCTGATACAAAGACATTCAACCAACTGAGCCACTCAGGAGGACCCCCCCAACCTTCTTTTTAGAGAGGGAGTAGGATGGGGGGGAGGGAGGGGGGAGAGGGAGAGAGAGAGAGAGAGAGAGATCTCCTAGTTTTAGATCCAAATCCAAATACTCTCTTTCATTTTAAGTAGTTGGTAATTGAGATGTCTTTTCTGAGAGTCTAGGGGAACTATAATAATGAGACAGTCTTGCTCTCAGCACACAGCTAGATACAATTTTATGATATTATTTTAAAGGTAGGTGTCATTTTAATTTCCATTTCCATTTTTCATATGCATATACATGCAAGGTACTAAATCTCCTAATGCAAAGATAATGTATCTGATTTGGGATTATAAGAACACACATATATTTACTCAGGCATTCTAAGGATAAAATAGGTCAAATTTCTTATTCAGGGCTATTGTTTATTCTTCTCCATTTTGGAGGAAAAAAATACATCATTGTGAATCTAAATAACATGTTAATATTCTCAGTATTAGAATCAATGGTAGAAAATACCTGGTTGACATGGTCCAGTTTGGGGCAAGGCCTCCCTCCATTATAGGGTTTTTCACGCAACCATTTAGACCGAACCTTGACGCCACTCCCACAGGACTTACTGCAGCGAGACCAGTTGGACCACTCGCTGAGCTTGCAGTCAGAGGGACAGGGGATGATGCAAGCCTCTTCAATGTAACCTGAGTGGAAACAAGCCAGATGAGAGTCCTCTTCTCCACATGTGACCTGCCCACTACCACCCACCATTCTAGCTCATTTAGAAGGTCCAAGTTTGACTTGACAGCAACATGCAAATGCAAATATGTCTGCATTGTGAGGAACTCAAATTAAATTCTGCAGGAAAATGACACGTACGTACAGCGACTCTGTTAAAATAACAGCTGAGCAGTGGCCGTATGATCTGTTTAGGATTCATGCTCACCATATTTCAACATTTCTGACTTTCTGACAGCTCATGTTTAATTGACAATAACCTGTCGGCTGCTATATCGTTCTCAGGCTGTCAGAATGATACATTAAAAAAAATTATAACAGCTTTCTATAAAATTCACTGTGTTAATGTCACACAAGCCGAAGTGTTTGAGTCCATGCAATATTCTTCCTCAAGAAGAGAGCCAGACCCTCTCAATCAACATCCAAAAGGAACCCTTTAACTTAGCACCTTATGTTTCCCCTTTGAAAATCAAATCTGGAGAAGAAAAATGAAGGATGTTAAATAATGTCTCATAGTTTTTAGTGCTGTCAATTTCAAAACAATTTCACATCTTGCATTCATTGTGTTCTCTTGAAAATCTTCTAAATGTATTGGGCAGGTATTGATATTCTACTGGACAGATAGGAAAACAAATGCGGAAAGATAATTGACAAGTGCAGGATCACATAGTAAGAGATGGGGTCTAGTCCAGTACTCATTCCATCAAATCACACAGTCAATTAACTTAATAGTCTACAGATGTGATTTGAGAAATGGGTGCATTTTCCTGGAACAGTCCCTTATTACCAATTTGGCATTTCACAATATCAATTCATCACTAGTATTCTCCAGGCAAATATGTGGAAAAAGCAAAATTTCCTTTGGTCAAGAGTCAAATGCATGGTTGTTCTGGGTAACACTCTGATGTGCAGAGGGTTTGCTCTTGTACCATTTTAGATTAGCATCAAGGATCTGATTTTGAAAATGGTAATAATATAAACAACTTGTACTAGGGAACTCTAGGTTGGTTTACAATTTTTTTTTATTGAGAAATAATTCATACACTGTAAAAGTTAGCTCATGTTTTGGTTTTTAATATATTCACTGAGTCATACAATCATCACCACTATCTAATTTTAGAACATGTTCATCGCCACAAAAACAAACTCTATACCCATTAGCAGTCACCTCCCGTTTTCCCCTCCCCCATCATCTGGCAACAACTCATCCACTTTCTGTTCCTAAGAATTCACCTGTTCTGGACATTTCATAGAATGAAAGCAAACATTCTGTGGTCTTTTTTGATTGGCTTATTTCACTTAGTATAATGTTTTCAGGGTTCATCTATGTTATAGCATGTGTTAGTACTTCACTCCTTTTTATGACTGAGTAGTGTTCCATTGTATGGATAGATCATATTTTGTTTATCCACTCATCAGCAGATGGATATTTTAGTTCTTTCCCTAATTTGTGTATTATGAATAATGCTGCTGTGAATGTTTTTGTATCAGTTTCTGTGTGAACATGTTTTTAATTCTTGTGGGTATATATCTAAGAGTGGAATTGCTGGGTCATATTGTAACTCTATATTTAACTTTTTGAGGAAGTGCCAAACTGTTTTCTAAAGCACACCATTTTACAATACCACTAGCAAGGTATAAGTGTTCCAATTTCTACATTTGTCAAAACTTGTCTTTTTTATTTTAGTGTCCTTTGAAGAACAAAATTTTAACTGTCAGTGAGGCTAATTTACCTATTTTTTCTTTGGTTGCTTGAGCTCTGATGTCACATCTAGAAAATTATTACCTAACCCAAAGTAATTAAGATTTACATCTATGTTTTCTTCTAAGAGTTATACAGTTTTAGCTCTCATATTTAGGTATATAATTCACTTAATTTTTGTGTATGCTAAAAGGTGTAGGGGGTCTAACTTCATTCTTTTGTATGTGATTATCAAGCTATTCCAGGTCTATTTGTTGAAAAGACTATTTTTTTTCTACATTGAATTATTTTGTTGAAAATTAACTGACCATAAATGTAAGGGTTTATGTCTAGATTCTAAATGTCATTCCATTGATCTCTATGCCAATACCACACCATCTTGATTGCTGTAACTTTGTAGTAAGTTTCGAAGTCAGGATGCGTGAGTCCTCCTACTTTGTTCTTACTTTTCAAGATAGTTTTGGCTTTTTTGGGTCCCTTACATTTCCATATGCATCTTGGAATCAGCTTGTCAATCTCTGTCCACAAAGGCAGCTAAGATTTTGATAGGAATTGTGTTGAATAGCTTGATCAATTTGGGAGTATTGCCATTTTAACAACCCAGATACATGGGATTTCTTTCCATTTATTTAGGTCCTTAATTCCTTTCAATGATGTTGTGCAGTTTTTGTGTACACATCTTGTACTTCTTTCGTTAAATCTATTCCCAAGTATTTCATTCTTTTTATTGTAGGTAGATTTAAAAGAGAACCAACAAACACTGATTTCTTTTATTATAGTGAAACAAGACCACCTAAAAACCATTATGACAAATTTAATCCAGAAGCTTGTGACCACAGTGTCCTGGATTGAGACAGTGTTAAAGAGCCAGCCAGTTATTACACAGTATTTCCCAGCCTTGCCTTATCATAAATTTCCTGGAACACATGCTAAAAGTCCAGGCTTCCAGCAACCCCAAACATTATGATACAGTTCACTTGGGATAGGGTCTCACTTTTGGAAATTTAATATGTTGTGTTTATTCAGCACTCCCTCTTTTATATTGAAATTTTTTTATCAAGGTAATTGTGTATTCACATACAATTGCAAGAAATAATATAGCGAGATCCCTTGTCTACTTACTCAGTTTCTTATAATAGTAACTATAGTACAATTTCAACCAAGATACTGAGATTGATATAACCCACTGAGCTTGAATATTCAAGTTCACCAGTCAAATGTGTACCCATTTATGCATGGATGAGTGTGTAGGACAGAAAGTAGGGAATGCTGCTATAAGACACAGGCAGAATCAGTAGAATCTGGATAAGAAGTAGATCTGTAGCATATTTTTATATATATTTTATGTTTTTGTCAGATATATATCAGCTGTTTTAAACTTAGTCTCCAAACACAAAAATGCATTTTTTGGTACAATTTCATAAGTACGAAGTTTGCTGAACACACACATGAATCCAGAGCCCTCTTTGTGCCCTCTTCCAATCACTATCCCTTCCCACATGTGCAACCACCATCCTGATTTCTCACAATGCCGAACTGTTTTAAAAACTTTATATAAATGGAATCATACTGTGTATATCCATATATGCAAGCTTTCTTTCATTCTACAATGTGGTGTGAGGTTCATCCATATAGTTGCATGTTGTTGAAGACTATTCATTCATTCTTTCCTGCTTTGTCAAAGATTAATTGACCATACACTTGTGGGTTCGTTTCTGGGTTTTCTATTCTGTTCCATTGATCTATGTGTCTATTTTTTGTGCCAGTACCATATTGTTTTGATCACTACAGCTGTGCAATATAACTTGAGGTCCAGAATTGTGATACCTCCAGCTTTTCTTTTCTTTTTCAAGATTGCTTTGGCTATTCAGGATCTTTTGTGGTTCCATACACATTTTAGGATTGTCTGTTCTTGTTCTGTGAAAAATACTATTGGTATTGGTAATGCAATACTATAGGCATTGCATTAAATGTGTAGACTGCTTTGGGAAGTATAGACATTTTAATAATATTTGTTCTTCCAATCCATAAGCAGGGAATGTCTTTCCATTTCTTTTTGTCATCTTCAGTTTCTTTCATCAGTGTTTTATAGTTTTCAGAGTACATGTCTTTTGCCTCTTTGGTTAGATTTATTCCTAGTATCTTATGGTTTTTCATGCAATTGTAAATGGGATCAATTCCTTAATTTCTCTTTCTGCTGCTTCATTATTGGTGTATAGAAATGCAATAGATTTCTGTATGTTGCTTTTGTATCCTGCAACATTACTCAATTTGTTTATCAGTTCTAGCAATTTTTGGTGAAGTTTCGGGTTTTCTATATAGAGTACCATGTCATCTGCAAATAGTGAAAGTTTGACTTATGCCTTGCCAATGTGGATGTCTTTTAGTTCTTTTTGTTGTCTGGTTGCTGAGGCTAGGACTTCCAGTACTATGTTAAATAACAGTGGTGAGAGTGGACATCCCTATCTTGTTTCTGACCATAGAGGGAAAGCTCTGTTTTTCTCCACTGAGGATGGTATTAAACTGTGGGTTTTTCATATATGGCCTTTATTATGCTGAAGTGTGTTCCCTCTATCCCTACTTTGTTGAGGTTTTTTTTTTTTTTTTTATCATGAATGGATGTTGGTACTTTGTCAAATGCTTTTTCTGCATCTATCGAGAGGATCATATAGTTCTTATCCTTTCTTTTATTAATGCAGTGTATTACATTGATCTGCGAATACTGAACCACCCTTGCATCCCAGGAATAAATCCCACTTGATTGTGGTGAATGATTTTTTTTTTATGTATTGCTGGACTCAGTTTGCTAGTATTTTACTGAGAATTTTGGCATCCATGTTCATCAGTGATATTGGCCTATAGTTCTCTCTTTTAGTGGAGTCTTTATCTGGTTTGGGTATCAGGGTAATGCTGGCCTCACAGAATGAGTTGGAAGTTTTCCTTCCTTTTCTATTTTTTGGAATAGTTTGAGAAGAGTAGGTATTAACTCTTCTTTAAATGTTTGGTAGAAGAAGCCAGCTGGTCCTGGATTTTGTTTGTTGGGAGTTTTTGATTACTGATTCAATTTTTTTTTTTTGCTGGTTATTGGTCTGTTCAGGTTTTCTATTTCTTCTGTTTCAGTTTTGGTAGTTTATATCTAGGAATTCATCCATTTCTTCCAGATTGTCCAATTTGCTGGCATATAGTTTTTCATAATATTCTGTTATAACTGTACTTCTGTGGTATTGGTTGTTCGTTCTCTCTCGTTTGTGATTTTATTTGAGT